ATGAATACATAGTGGGTGTGTCAAAAATTCGTATTTAAAAAAATTTTTTTTTTTGAGGAAGATTAGCCCTGAGCTAACATCTACTTCCAATCCTCCTCTTTTTGCTGAGGAAGACTGGCCCTGAGCTAACATCCATGCCCATCTTCCTCTAATTTATATGTGGGAGGCTGCCACAGCACGGCTTGTCAAGTGGTGCCATGTCCGCACCCGGGATCTGAACCAGTGAACCCTGGGCTGCTGAATCGGAATGTGTGAAATTAACCACCGCACCACCAGGCCGGCCCCAAAAGTTTGTATTTTCTAATGGCTGTTTAGCATTTCATTGATCATTGTGCTGTTGATGGAAATTTCTTATTTACATTTGTGCCATTTATATCAATTTATTGCCTCTTGGCTCCAAATTCACTCTTTTTGACTGGACCCCATGAAACTGGCTCTGGACCCGCAGTGATTCTCTGTTCTCCGTGAGCCATGCTGTCCTCATCAAGGAGGTCTGGATCTCAGCCCTGAGTTGGGGGCTTTTCCCCAAGGTTTCCTCCTTAGCCCTGGGGGCTGTGGCTGCTCCTTATATCTGCTAGGATTCTTTATATTAAACTTTCTCTTTTTGAATTACTAGGTAATTTCGTTCTCCTGATTGGACCCATAGACCCTGAGACCATAGTTTTTGGTTATTATGAGCAACATACTCTGAACATTCTTGGCCATCATTCTTGGTGGACATAAGTAATCATTTCTGTTGAGTATGTGCCCAGTCGTTCTAATGGGTTGCAGTGGTATTCTATTGTGGTTTTATTTGCATTTCCCTAATGACTAATGATGTTGTCCTTTCTTGGATTTTTGGTATTTGGGTATTTCTTTTGCAAAATAACTTGTTCACAATTCATTTTTTAAAAAATTGTGAGTTTTTTTTTTGCCATTTCCTTGCTGATTCACAGAAGTTATTGATATATTGTGGATAATAGTCTGTTTGCCAGTTATATGTTTGGCACATATGTTCTCCCAGTCTGTGGCTTGCTTTTGAACTGTCCTGATGGTATCTTTTCAAGTTCCATTCATCATCCTTTTCTTTTATGGAGTGCTTTTTGTGTCCTGTATAAAAATAATTGCCTGGGGGCCAGCCTGGTGGCGCAGCAGTTAAGTTCGCACTTTCTGCTTCTCTGCAGCCCGGGGTTCGCCAGTTCGCATCCCGGGTGCGGACATGGCACCGCTTGGCAAAGAGCCATGCTGTGGTAGGTGTCCCACATATAAAGTAGAGGACGATGGGCATGGATGTTAGCTCAGGGCTGGTCTTCCTCAGCAAAAAGAGGTGGATTGGTGGTGGTTAGCTCAGGGCTAATCTTCCTCAAAAAAAAAATTGCCTAGTGCAAGATCAGAAAGCTTTTCTTCCAGAAGCTTTATTGCTATACCTTTTACCTTTGGATATGCAATGCATCTGGATTTGATTTTTATGTATGGTGTGAGGTTGGGGTCAGGTGTTCTTTCTCCCCATGTGGATATCAAATTGACCCAGCACTCTTGATTGAAAGGCCACTCTTTCTCCGCTAAATTCTCATGATGCATTCATCATCTACCATACGTGTGGGTCTATTTCTGGGCTCTCTATTCTGCTCCATTGATTTATTTGTCTGTTGTTGTGCCAGTTTTCTTACACAGTTAAAATGCACATCAGCTTATTCCTCTGGGAAAGGAAACTGGTGAACTTTGTTAAAAGATTGGATAGACCCCCTCAGCTTTTGTATAAGATATCTGTTTGCCCGGGCCACCATCCAGCTTGGGGGAGTCATCTGGGTGCAAACTGAATTGCATGACGTGGTTATTGTGTGCCTCATGCCCCCACACCCAGTGTTTTCTCCTGTTGAGAAACCTGTGATGGGGTGTATTCTTGAGGATCTTACTCCTGCTGTCTTCCTCAGGTGGCCTTTACTCCTCTTCCTGAATGCTTCCAGAAGAATCCGTTTGCTCCCTCCATGACTAAATTGCTCTTGAGGGATCAGTGACAGGCTGTTCATAAGATGCAGGGGCTCTCCACATGCAGTAGTCAGTATTCTCCAGACTAACAGAACCAACGGGAGATGAGAAAGATATAGGTAGAAGAGGCTTGCTATAAGGAATTGGGCCACATGGTTATGGAGGCTGAGAACCCCCGTGATCTGTAGTCAGCGAGCTGGAGACCCAGGAAAGCCTGTGGTGTAGTTCTAGTCTAAAGACTGACACACTTGAGACCTAGGAAGAGCCGAGGTTTCAGTTCAAGTCTGAAAGGAGGAAAAAAACCCCTGATGCCCCAGTTCAAGCAGTCAGGCAGGAGGAGTTCCCCCTTCCTTGGGGAGAGGGTGGGCTTTTTGGTTCTATTCAGGACTTCAACTGACTGGATGAGGCCCACCCACATTAGGGAGGCACATATGCTTTAATTAGTCTACTGATTCAGATTTTTACCTCATTCAAAACACCCTTACAGACATACCCAGAATAACGTTCCACCAGATACCTGGGCACCTTGTGGCCCAGTCGTGTCGACACATACAATTAGCCATCAGGCTCCAAGAGCTGCGCTGCTCCCTCTGCTTCTGATGCTGATGCTCGGTCCTCCTCCAGTGGGCGGGGTGCTGGACACCAGGTAGGAGCTCAGAGTTGCTGGTCCAGCATGGGTCTGGGGCAGTTGGGGGATCCTCCCTCCACACGGCAGTTCTTTGATTCCTTGGGGACACCTGGGGTCACCCAGCTCCTGCTCACTCTTGGGGACGCTCTCCCCTCTACTGGAGCCCAAGAGTAGAGCCAGGTTTCACGGTGCTTGAAGCTTCTACAGTTTTGGTTGAGAACAGAAAGAAAACAGTGGAGGTGAGTAGTCCTGTAGCAGAGTGTCATTAGTCTCATGGAATAGCCTCCTCATAAAACGTCTTTCCTTGAGAAGGCCCAGGCCTAACCTCCAGACCCTGGGCCAGGTGGTGTTGGCATGGGGTGGACTTCGGGGAGGCGTGGCTCATCTCTGGCTCCAGGCCACATGTGACCCAGGAATTCACTCCCCATCACCCTCGTCCACTCCCCTCCTGCTCTCCTCCTCTCCCCTAGGGGAAGGGATATTTTCAGCTCTACAACTAGTCCACTTAAAAATCAGGATAGGCATGCTGGTCTGGGGTCTTTGGCCCCACTGGTTTGTGATGTGGTGCCCACTGGTGTTTTCAAAGGTGCCTAGAGTAGAATCATGTGGGACATGTAAAAATGCATATTCCTGGGCTCCAGACCCGCTTTATCAGGATCTTTGTAGGACTGACCCTTTGAAACTGCATGTTTACCCGGGTCCCGGGTGACTGTTACAGGCCCTGAGTTTGAGAGTCTCTGAGCTGTTCAGGGTGGAGATTCCCAATGTCATCTGTTCTGCATTCCCTGGGATGGGCCATGGGAGATGGCGAGAGTTTTCCCAGATATGTGACCACAGCTCTGGAGTAAGTATCCTGAAGGTGGCTGCCAGGTCTCTGGACTGCTTGCCCACTTCCTGAGTCCCACCTGTCCCATCACACCTGCCCTGCAGGGACAAGCTCAAATACGGCATCCTCCACATGGCCCCTCCAGCTGGCTTGGGCCCCGGGGGACATGATGGGTTATGTGCTTCGGCCAGTAGGGCCCTGCCACTTGCTCTGCCTCCTGGGTGCCATTTGGAGTCCAGCAAGAGACCAATGCAGGAGTGAGCTGAGCGAGCATCCCTGGGGCTGGAGATCCGTGCAAAGGATCCTGAGAAAAAGCACACTAGGGGAATGAGAACTGAAGGTTTACCATTGAGGCAACCCCCGAAGAAGAGCAAACTTACCTGAGAAAGGAAGCAAAGTAGAGAAATGTCATCTTTCTCTTGCATTTGGGTTTTACGTCTCTCTCTAAAATGCATTGTGGGAGAACGCGGTTTGGTCCCCCTCACCCTTCTTCCACCAGAATACACAATACATCCTAACTGTGCAAATAAATAACCTCACAAAGAGAGAAAGAAGGGAATAGAATTCTCAGCATCCTGCATGCCAGTTCAGACACGTTCTCACTGTCTGTTTGCCTCCTGAGGTGACTTCTCTGAAGTTGGCAGGAACTCCAGCTGGACAGGGGCTCCACGGGGGCTGAGAAGAACAGGAGCTGGACTAAGTTGGTCTCCAGAAAGTTAGCTAGTTCTGGAAATCTCCATCATTGTTCCCTTTCTCTCTCTCTCTCTCTCCTTTTTTTCTTTTTGATGAGGAAGATTGGCCCTGAGCTACCATCTGTGCCAATCTGCCTCTACTTTGTATGCGGGATGCTGCTACAGTGTGACGATGAGCGGTGCTGTAGGTCTGCACCTGGGATCCGAACCTGCAAGCCCCGCCACCAAAGCGGAGTGTGCGAACTTAACCACTTCGCCACCGGGCCAGCCTCATTGTTCCCTTTCTTTTATAGTGAATATATTTGGAACAGAATTTTAACACAATGAAATTCCGAGGTCCTCTTTTGCCATCAAGACAACCAACCCTTTCTTCATGTCACTCAGTCAGTTTCTTTTCTTGCTGGCTCCTCTGTCCTCTCACCCAGGATGACATTTTGAAGACACAGACACTGAGCTGAGAATTGATGGAGTTCTTCTCTGTGTTAACGTCTTTAAGCATCAGCCACAGATTCTGTTATGTAGAGATGGTAAATTATTTGCATGAGAAATTGGACTAAAACTGATTTCTGAGTGACCATGTCTGCTTAAAAAGCTCTCCGTGGGGTTCTAACCCCTTGGAAAGACCTGAAAAGACTCTCAGATATTTGCATGCTGTTATTGTTGTCAACAGGTGAACCATGTGGTGGAATTGGTTTGTCTCGATCGTACCCATTTTACAGATGACAAAAGTGAGGCTGGGGGTGGGGCTCAGATGCTTCCCCAAGGTCACGTGGGTAGGTGACTGCAGAAGCAGCACCCCAGAAAACACTCGGGCACAAATGATGAAGAGCTGCCGGTCAGGCTTGGTGACTTGAATGACACTTTTCTTTTTGTTGTTTCCTTATAGTGATTCTTGACGAAGGGAACCATCACTTTTGGTAAACAAACCAAACCCAGAATGTGAAAGTGTTGAATGTCATATGCTGACAGCTCTTAGGAACAAACGTCCTCTTGGAATCTACCCTGTGGCTTAGCTTTCAAACCAGAGGTTCCTCTTACCAAGGAAAAAGTGAGTTATTTGCTTTCTTAATGTAATTACATTAGGATGGATGCTCCTGGATTCATTGAGGATGACAGAGATGGATGGGGCAAAAGATGGAAGGATCAATTGGGAGGTTTACAAAAGAAACCAAAAAAACCAAAAATAACCATCACTGCCAGCGGAGTGGAATTCCGAGGGGGTTGTGCAGATCAGACTACGGGTCCTGCTTTTTATTTGAGTAGTAAAATGGTGCTTGATTCGATCAGAGAATGCAAATGCTCCATAGATTTAGACCTAGAACATGCGGTTTCCAGTGTTGCAGGTTCTTGAGCTGGAGTTAATTATGGAGTCAGAGAAGGGTGGAGCTGGAAGGACCTAGTGAGAGATGTGGTCCCATATCTTTTTAAATGAGGAATCTGAGACTCCCCTGGTGAAGGGCTGGCTAGCTTTGGAGCCGGGCCCAGTGCCCTGTTTTCTGTGGTCCTGATCTCACACTGTGGGGTGAATGGTGCTGGCAGTCGTCTCTGCCTCCACGTTAAACCACAGCTCTTCACTTCGGTGTGCAGTGAGATTCCAGAGTTTCTGAAACATAAGCCCTGAAACCTGGGTCTCTTCCCCTATCTCAGCCTCCCAAGGTAAAGCTAAACATGGCTTCCTGCTTTTGAGGGCTACACATCTGATTTTGTTCCATTTCAGATGGCCAACGTGAAGATGATGTTGCTGTGTCTTTCACTGGTGGTTCTGGGAGCCCTCTGTTTGTATTTGAGCATGTACACTCTGATTCCTTTTAAAGAAGGGCCGTTTGTTTTCAAGAGAAGGCAGGAGAACTTCCTTCAGCTCCCAGATGTGGACTGTGGGCAGAATCCTCCCTTCCTTGTCCTCCTGGTGACTTCATCCCAGGAACAGACATTGGCTCGCACGGTCATCCGGAACACGTGGGGACAAGAAAAGATTGTGAAAGGAAAACGAATAAAGACGCTCTTCCTCTTGGGAACCACCACCAGTAAGGCCACATCGAAAGCGGTGGCCCACGAAGGCCGGCAATATCGAGATATCATCCAGAAGGACTTTCTGGATGTTTATTTCAATTTAACTCTGAAGACCATGATGGGTATAGAGTGGATCCACCGCTTCTGTCCTCAGGCAGCTTTTGTGATGAAAACAGACTCTGACATGTTTATCAACATCTACTATTTGACTGAGCTGCTTCTGAAGAAAAACAGAACAACTCGTTTTTTTACTGGCTTCTTAAAAATGCACGACTACCCGATTAGGATGAAGCAGAGTAAGTGGTTTGTCAGTAAATACGAGTATCCGTGGGACAGGTACCCACCTTTTTGCTCGGGCACCGCCTACGTGTTTTCTGGCGATGTTGCACGTCAGGTGTATGAAGTTTCTGAGACTGTTCCATTCCTTAAACTGGAAGATGTCTTTGTGGGGCTCTGCCTCGCAAAACTGAAGATCAAACCGGAGGAGCTCCACTCTGAGCAGACCTTTTTCCCAGGTGGGTTAAGCTTTTCCACATGCCGTTTTAGGAAGATCGTGGCCTCCCATTTTGTCAAGCCTAACGATATGCTGATCTATTGGCATGCTCTGGAAAGTTCCCTGGGAGAAGAGTGTCCAGCTGTCTGAGGGGAGCCCAGCGGCACATCTGGACACACTCCACGACCCATGCGTGATAGTTTTTGAAAGATCGTCGGATGGCACCGCTGGGGATCATCAGTGGGGAGGGAGAGAGTGAGGAAGGAAGAGGGAGAAGATGGAGAGTGATGTCCTGTGGCATTCCAAATCTAAACTAGGACGTAAGCTTCATTGGAAGCGCTGGATGATTCCCACTTGATGCCTGAGCAATAATAGATACCATCTCTTGAGGACACTGTGGCACTGAGTGCTCAATGGATGCCTTCCTTTTCCCATTTCAGAGATCCGTCTCCATCTGAAGGGGTGAGTGTGACCATCCCTATTTTATGCAGGAGGAAACGCAGCTTAGAGAGGTGCGGGAACTCATCCCAAGGCTCACAGCCAACAGACGTGGGAGCAGGGATGAAGATGGAGCATTCTCAGAATCCAGTCGGCAGCCCCCGACTTGGTCCACCCCTCCATGTTGCCTCCCCTGGGGGAGAGCTGTGGTGAAGAGGCTCTGAGGGAAGTCGTGCTGCTGGCATCCTTCAGACCCTTTGGAGAGACCCCTCCTCCTCAACACCCAATCCTTGGGGTTTTTTAGTGCTAAGACTGGGGTGAACAGATGCGCCCCCAGCTGCCTTCATTCACTGGGATGGATCTGGCTGGACACGGAGTCCCTGGTAGCAGCTAGGCACTCACCTCATCACCAAGCAGCTCCCAGAAGATACCCCTGCAGCTCAGCCCCTGAGAAACGCCAGCTCCAGACAGAAATCGGTTTTTATAGATGTGGCTCAGAAATCATTGCAAAGCCTGGCCCGTTGTACCGACTTCTTGGCCACGCTGACCTCCCCAAGAGCGTGGCATCTCCTCCGAGACGTCTGTGGCACCCCCAGATGCCCTTGGTCTGCACTTTAGGTCTCCAAGTTCAAACTGAAGGGCAGTTGGGCACAAGGCTCTGTCTGTGAAGGATTCTGGGAGCTTTTCTGGGAATTCAGTTGGATTTAAGTCAAGACGCTCTCAAGGACCTCCTTGGATGCTGAGCACTGAAGTGAGCCCTGGTCACGGCGGGGGGCGGCCACCTCGCAAGCCTCACCCAAGCTCATCTTCTTTGAACTTCTCAGATGGCCGAGGAACAACCAAGTTTTGTGGTGTGGAGTGTGACCTTCAGTTTTCTTCTCCCTGGAGGTTTGTATGAGCCTGTTCTGCAGGGCCGTCTGCAAACGAGGCCCTTCTTTGCAAGTGTCTTGGCCCATCCAGCCACTGTTGTGTCACATGCAAAGTCCCCTTGCTCCTGACTGCAGGAATGGTTGGTTCTTATTTTTTGCTTTATCAGACCTGACTTTACCAGCACTGAAAGCAAAGGCCTCTTGTGGCTGCGTGACTTACAAATGTCAGACTAAGCTCTTACTTGAACTCAGGAAGCGCTATTTGTTGCAAATGGTTGCGGCAATGTTAAAATGCACAATGAGCCCTGGCATCCTGTTTTGCACAGCATCTCTCGTACCTGGATCGAGCTGCTTCTTTGCAGACATGTTTTCTTATCCTGGCCACTCTGAACATGCTGGGTCACATTCAGAAAGCCTCCTTCTCAGGTGGGAAAATTGGGGACTGAGCTTGGTTTTTGAAGGCCAGATTTTTCCAGAGTCACATCCCTCCGTCCCATAGGGTGGGCTGCCCCTGATTCTGAAGGTAATGGTGGGTTTTGAGAGTGAAGGAGTTTGTCTGGCAGTAAGGCTGCCTTGTCTGGTGTGAGTGTCTTTGTGGCCGCCGGGCTGTGTGGGTGAGGTGTGGTACTCAGGACCCGGCCTTCTCAGCATTGGTGACAGCCCTCCGCCACAGGGGCCCATGACACAGGCGTGGCTCCACCTACAGCTTCTGCTGTTCTTAAAGGGTTTTCTGCAAAACATTTTTTACCACTCTATTTCTTTATGTCATGAAGACTTTTTTTCCTCTGGGGAAAAATTGTTTTGTGACTCTAGAACTTGCAGCGACCTTAGAGCTCATGCAGTCCTGCCTTTACGTAGCATGAAAAGAAAGCTCAGAGAGACCCAGAGGCTTCCCCAGGCCTCCAGCTTGACTGTCGTGGAAGGCAGAGTCCAGCTCAGATTGTGTCCCATCACGCCACCTTGCCTGTGGGTGAGAGTGAGAAACTCTGCGAAAGCGTGAATTGGGAGGCAAAGCGATGCTTTTCCAAGAATGTCCAACATTAGTTTCCGAATGGGACCAGAGAGGAGCCAGGCTGGTGGGACAGTGGCTTCCCTCGCAGGCATCTGGAGAGCAATGATTTTGATAGCAAATGCTCTTTGCCGGGTACTGAGATAAGGGCTTTATTATCTCCTTAAATGCTCACAACGACTCTGTGGGGCAGGTTACCAGCAATATCTCTGATTTACAGATGAGGAAACTGAGGCAGCCAGGGAGGGTGAACAGCCAGCTCAAGGTGACATAACTGACAATTAGCAGAAATAGGATGTGCACCCAGGCTGTTGGGGCCCCCGTGCGTGTTGGGGACAGTCAGCCCTGCATCCTCCCGGGCTGTCAGCTGCCCCTCTCCCAGTGTTCAGGGAGATGCAGAAGCTCATTGCATCAGCTGCTCAGGCTGTATTTCTGGGCACTTCTTCAGCCTCCAACCACCACCCGTGTCCACCCTCCAGCTTCTGAACCCCGGTATCCTGCCCTCCACTGGGACTGGAGAAGAGAACGATGGGGACTCTTGTGGCCTCAGCCCCTCCACTTCTGGAGTTGATTCCTAGTTCTTCTTACCTCTTTGAGAGCAAGACTCCTGCATGGGGCCTCGCTCTCCATGTCCATTTCCCCATCTCTGCCGATTGCCCCATCGGCACGTGTCACACGAGCTTATTCTCATTTCCCATCTTTTGAAACCATCAACCGCCTTCCCTTGACACTCCTTTTCCCTCCAGCTGTCTCCTTGTTTCTATTCCCTCTGCAGTTCAACCCCACAAGGGAGTTTTATGTATTTAAATTCCTCTCCTATTTCTGAAATCCCTTCTGATCAGACTTTGGTCCCCCCCGCCCCACCCCACTCCACAGATGGTTCTTATTGAAGTCACTGATGATGACCCACATTGCTGGGTCTATGGTCAGTTCTCGGTCCTCACCTGGCCCACTTCCCTGCCGAGCGCTTGTCACCGGCTTGCGGATGCTTGGCGCTCCTGGTCCTCCTCCTTCTTGCTGCTCCTCCTTTGCCATCTCCTTTGCTTGTTCCGTGTCTTCGCTCTGACTTCTCGTGCTGGGGCACCCAGGGCTCAGCCTCAGCCCCTCTATTCCCAGTTTTACTCAGTGGTCTGGTGGTCTCATCCAGCCTCATGGTGTTAAATATCCTCCATCATGTTGACCACGCCCTGTTTATCTCCAGCCCAGAACACTGTCTTGCGCTTGTCTCGTGTATTCCACCACCTCCTTGACTTCACATAATGAGCAAATGCAAAACTGAACTTGTGACAAACCCCTCCCCCGGCTCCGAATCCACTGCACTTGCAGGCTTCACTACCTCAGGTCAGGGTCATGCCATCCTTCCTGTGGCTCAAGCCAAATGCCTCAGAGCCATCCTTGACTGCTTTGTCTCAGCTGGTGCCTCAGGAGAGACTGTTGGCTCTACCTTCCGGTTCTGTCTGGAAGCCAGCCACTTCCCCCGACCTCCACAGCTGCCACCTTGTTCAAGCCCCCATCCCCTCTCACCTGTTTTCCTGTGGTGGCCTTCTACCTGGTCTCTCGGCTTCCGTCATTGCATCCCTTTGGTCTGTTCCTAACACAGCATCCAGAGTGCTCCTTTGAAAATACGGATCAAAGCATCTCACTTCTCTGCTCAGAACCCTCCAGTGGCTTCCTATCTCCGAGTAAGAGCCACATCTTTAATATCATGAGCTGCCTCTGTTCTTCCTAACCTCATCCCTTCACGTGTTCCCCTCCCTCACTCTGGCCTCCCTCGACAGCAATACTACTATTCCAGCCTCACCCGCCTCCTTGCTCTTCCTGGACCATCCCAGGCATGCTCCACCTCCCCAGGGCCTTTGCACTGGCTGTTCCCTCTACCACAATTGCTCTTTTCTCAGATACTCTCACGGCCCACTCCTGGCCTCCATCAAGTCTTTGGTTAGATATTGCCTTCTTACTGAGGTATACCCTACCACCCTATATGAAATTGCAACTTGTGCCACCCCCCGTCCCCTTACCTTGTTACATTTTTCTATTGCACATGTCAATTTCTAACAAAGTATATAATATCTATTTATTATAAATATCTCTTTTGTTTATTGTTTACATTTCATCCCACTTGAACAAAAGCTTTGTGGAGGAATGGATCTTTGTTTTCTTCACCGATGTGCCTCAAATTCTTAGCACAGCTCCTGGAACATAGTGGATCTCAATAGATATTTGTTGAGTGGAACTGAAAGGACCTTTATGGAAGGTGGTTCTAGAGGGGAATAGGTGAATCTAGACTGAAAGGTGAGGGGCTCCTAAAACATAGCCAACACTATGGTTCCAAATGAATCAGTAAATGGGAAAATGGGTGTGTTTTTACTGAAAACCCAGAAATGTTACCCAGCAGTGCTTCCTGACCTCAGGCCCCCTTCTGCTGTAATGGGAAACCTCACACGCTGAGAAGGAGATGAGGTCCTGTAATGCCTCCATGTGCCCGTCCTCCAGCCTCCACATGGCTGGTATCGTCGCATCTACCACCTCCTTCTGTTTTGCTGATTAGAGAAATATACCTCTTCTCCTCAACTGCGTCCAACTTTTGGTCCCAGGAGACTAACAACAGCAAACCAAGTTGTCAGGAAGTATGTGTGGGATCATTAAAGTGACTTCAGTCCAATTGTCTTCTGGATGAAATAACCACATGCTCATTCATCCGTGGATGGTAAAGACCACACAATGCCGATAGTCGAGTTTATTTTTCAAGATCAGAACTACGAAGCAGTCTCAGCTCTCTTGAGCTGTGTAGGTGAGCTGTGTCGGTGAATTCTGGACTTAGGGGACCTGGTCGGCCCACGTGTGGGGAATGTGGATGGTCCACGAGTTACCCAGGAAGGGCGTCACCTTATGAGGCTGTTCTGACCCCACTGAAGGGATTTGGTTGCAAAAATAGGTCTTGGTTTAGGAGGCAGTTTCCTTGATAAGCAAGCCTGTTGTATAGATTTCAAGGACTATATTTAATAATGGAAGACTATAGTTTAATTAAATGTGTTCTAGTGGAGCTAAGAATCTATCTGTCTATCTACCTACCTACCTACCTACCTATCTATCTATCTATCCATTTACCTATCTACCTACCTACCTACCTATCTATCTATCTATCTACCTATCTATCTACCTACCTATCTAGCTACCTATCTATCTATCTATCTATCTATCTACCTATCTATCTACCTACCTATCTAGCTACCTATCTGTCTATCTATCTGTCTATCTATCTATCTACCTACCTACCTATCTATCTATCTATCCATTTACCTATCTACCTACCTATCTACCTACCTACCTATCTACCTACCTATCTATCTATCTATCTGTCTATCTATCTATCTATCTATCTGTCTATGTATGTATACTGGACTCTGGAATAAACCATTATAATATGACAGCAAATAGAAATTGCAGAACTTTTTAATTTTGCAATCTGCAATGCTTACCTTGTATTTAATTACTGAAAATTGTCCCCTTGCTGTCCAGTCTCAAAGACGTACGATGAGTCCCATCAGTGATTTGGGTGGCAGTCCTACCAGCACAGCTTCCTTCCGTAGTCTGCGCTAATCAAATTATCCTAACCGTTCTTTTTCATGCAGCACAGTCGTTTCACTTTTTCTTAGAAACCTTTACCTACCCTGTAGTGTCTTCCACATATTATATTTCTTAAAAGCATCTATTTTACTTCCTGTTATGCTCTGGGGTTAACCCCCTTCTCCAACAGGATCACCTTGACCCACATTGTTCTAGACTTTGTTAATTCAGCAAGTATGAAAATCTGAACAGGTTAAAAAAAAAAAGTGGAGCTTGAAAGTGTCATATAGATTATCTGTGGTTTAAAAAACAGCCTCCTTTTTCAAGTGAGAAAACCAAGGCTTAGGAAAATAGAGTGACTTCGCCAAGTCCTTCAATTAGCGGCATCTCCGGGATTGGAAACCAGCATCAGAAAGCTCCTGTCAGTCATTCGGTCCTTCATTTTATTCATTCATCTGGCATATTTGCTCAGGGCTTTTCACAGGACGTCAGGAATGAGGGTCAAGCTGAGGTTCGCGGCTGCGGTTTTGTGCACAGAGCTTTAGCTGGGTAAACACAGTGCTAAGAAGGTGATCCGGGCATCTGTTCTCTTGACAGCTGAAAAAAGAAGCCTTTGTTCAGTGCCTTGTCTGTGGACAGACGTTGTAAACCATTTCCAGTCTGCCGTCTCCTGGAGTCCTCACAGCAGCCCTTCGAGCTAGCTATTCTTATTATAATTCACCCCCTGGTTTTGAGCTGAGGAAACTGAGGTTCACGGGGACTCAGTGACTTGTCCCGGGCTCAGATGTGGCTGAGACCCAGCTCCTTGGCCTTCAGTGGCTCGCTCTTCACCATGGCATTGTTGGGGAGTCCTCCTACGGATGGCCAAGGCATCCTGAGTCTTCCACTCAGAGGGAAGATCATGCCTGGCCTCACCCAAAGAGCCTTCCATCTTGTCCCTTTTCCTACTTGCTGTCACTTCAAGTGTTGACATGCGTCTCTATCTGCTCCTTCCTGGTCCTATTTGACCTTCTGGGACTTGGCCCCTTCTCATCTGTGGCGTTCCCAAGAATCTCCTGTGTAGCTAGGTCCTCCGACCTTTCCTGTCCCAGCCAGCCCTGTCTTGAGGTTACTCGAGTCTTCATCTCACGGCTCAAACAAGTGTCTGGCTTCAGAACATGAACCCCTCCAGTCGAGTCCAACCCACCTTCCACCTCTCTCTACCTAAAGCTCTTGCAAAACAAGCCAACTCTCACAAGAGTGTGGATTCAGCACTCCAGACATGTGGCTTCTGTCAGATTGTGTGTGTGTGTGTGTGTGTGTGTGTGTGTGTGTGATCCGAGGCTCTAAATAAGGGCACCATGCTCAGTGGCAGCTGGTTTGTGTCTGTTATCTGCCTTCCCCAAGAGTCAGCCAAGGGCAGTAAGAAGAGTGGGGCGATGTTTGCTTATGTGGGATGTGAGAAAACAGGTGCCCTCGATGTTCTCCTCAGCCGTCAGGGGGACAGTGTGGAGCTTGAGAGCTCTCGATTATTTTCACCTTTGCACAATCAGTTACACACTAATATAAGACAAGTATGTGCCGCGTGCCACCCCGTGTCTTGGAAACACCAACTGCAGGAATGGTTCGCAGTCATGCTGTTCAGAAATCTTCCTGAACTCCAACTTTCAGGCAGAATATTCAGAAAGCGGGAAATAGAGTGAAAGAGGTGGAGCAGCCTATTGAGTATGGGTGTATTTCTTACAAGCAAGAAGTGTGCACGCACTAGTACTTAGAGCCGTCTGCTCCCCTGAGCCTGGATACACAGCTGAGAGGAAAAAGGCCAGGCCTTGGTGACTCTCGCCGGCTCCCCACGCCAAGATTCTATGGCTCTGTGAGAGATTAAATAATTAACTAGTCTGATTTAACATAGCAGCTGCTGTGCCTCCTCGTTTTAAAATAGATGAGATGATGTTTACCTTTTCTCCATATCTTCCATTTGAAAGTATTTGTTTTCTCATGATATTTTTTTTTTTAAGAATGAATTTTCCGCACTTGTCATATCAGGACTAGCATTTTAGCAATTTCCCAGGAGATTCTCCTGGCATGGTGCCTGATGGAGAGGAGAGCCTCGATAATTATCTCTTGGGTTTTAAGGCGATTGCACACAGGAGTTATTCAGGCAGAATGGCGGAGTAGAGCACAGGATTAAGAGAATTGTAAGGTCCCTTTGAACAGCAATTCCTGAAGCCTCTTATAGATTGTTATTGCCACTTATTTTTATTTCTGTTTGGTTCTACATGATTCAAAAATCTGTATGTGAACATCAGGAAACTTTATCATGAGGGGAGATGTATTTGAAATAAACTCTCAATTATGTCTCTGGGATATGAAATATATTTACATTCTCTGTTTTGAATCTGTGGAAGGATTTCTAGCTTGTGGCCACTGGGAACTTAGAAGCATGAGTCCTGCTTTTCAAGTGTGACGACAGGACAGGACCCGTGGCTCTCAAATTGGCCCTGAAACTGAGCCGTGAAGCTGCCCGCCCCCAGTGTGGGGGGCAAAGAGCCAGGAAGGGCTGGGTGAGCACACGAGATGGGGAAGCAAGAAGGCATCCCGGTGCCTGCCAATTGGAGTAGTGACAAACAAAAAAATTAGCTTCTAATTAATTTTAAAAAACAATTCCTTCCTTATCAGACATAATCAACCCTAGATATCAGTGGAAAAATTAATTCCCTAGCCACATCTAGTTTTTGATGTTGCATTGTTTTGCGTTGTCTGTTGGTTCTGATACCTCTGTTCTTTGGTTTAAGAAATGAGTGCCAGGTGCACCCAGAGTTTAGATGGCCAGGGTGGCACTTACACAGCCTGGCCCCAAGCTCCTGCCCACACATGGTCCTGGGAAGTCAGTGCAAGATCAGCTGTCTCAACGGTCCAGTCCTTTAGTCCCCAAACAAAGAGATAAACCAAAGAAGAGACCCTTAGTTGAATTCTGCTTTGGAAAATATCACATGGGAGAGAATTGATTTATTTTACACCTGGTCAAATAAGACATCAAGAGAAATCCAGCATGACTGGAAATTACTTAATGCCTTTATATTTAAAATATTTGAAAATGTTGTTTACCTGTATCTTGAGAGAATCTACTAGACTCTTAAGCCATTGTATTTTGGGAGTGGGCATAGGTATTTATTTATGATTTATTAATAGTGGTATTCGTCTTGAATAAAAATTAAATTATTAAAATAGCATAGTGCACTTCATTTGGTTGGTTCGAAGGTGTAGATAGATGTGATAAACTTGTCCTCTTCTTGAAATGTCAGCAATGGAAGGCCTAAACTGGACAATCTTTTTTTTATTCCATGTTGATGTTTTCTATATTTATTTTGTGTTCGGGAAACTATTTTTAAATTCAGCTCTGATTTTATATGTTTAGAAAACTATGTTGAACAACCTCGCCGTGCTTATCTTTGTAAGAGATGGGCATTTCTTGTTTCCCTTGGATTTTGGAAGCCAAACAACAGGGCCCTAACTCGTGGACGACCTGTAGGGCACTGTCTGGGTGAGTGTGAGGGTGTGGTGGCCTGTCGGGAATTTTAATCCCAGGGCATTATGAGACAGGCATCCTTTGGAATTTTCTTTCTCTCAGGTATATTTATATTTCTTAAAAGCTATCATTTAAGTTTCGGAAATCAAGCCTTGTGAATTGATACGATTGTACCTTTTGAATCTACACGGTAACTTATCTTTGATGTGTCGATGGGATCCTTGACCTTTTAAAGTGTCGTTAAACGGAAATAAAATGATTGAAATAGACGTGTTTTTCTTCGCCTTTAGTGTGTGTTTGCGACCGTTCCTGTGGTGCTGCAGACCTGGACATCCTTGTCCGCCCATGCTCTTTGCAGGCTGCATCCCTAGCCTGTCCCAGAAACAAAACTGAAGTTGGAGGGGACCCGGTGGGGGGGGCAGGGCTGTGTGTTGGGGAGTGTGGGATGCCTGGAGATGGGCAGAGAAGGGAGCATCTTCAAAGGATGCTTGACCAGCTCTTTTCTATCCTCCAGCCGGGCTTTCCCTGCCCTCCAGTGACAGTGTGGGGCTGTCTGTGGTCCCCTCAAAGGCCTGTCCTGCCCCACGTGCCATTCCTGCTTCCCCTCCCAGACACCACTCCACCATTCCCTCTCCCCCTCATCTGCAGCTCCAGTCGCTCCCTCCCTTCTAGAACATTCCCACAGCACACAAACCTGCTGTCACTTCCCACGCAGAGACAACTTTCTAGACCTCCCTCCTTTTCCAGCACTGCCCCCTTTCTCTTTTTTTCCTTAATCCTAAAACCTCTCTAAAGAACCGTCTTCCTGCTGCCGCCCATCCTCCGCTCCCACTGTCTCCTCACCTCACCACTGCACTGGAGTAGTTCTGGTGGAGGCACGCGTGCTCTCCATCAGGCTGGCAGTCATGTCTTGCTGGAGCCCTTAGTGCCATCTGACACTGCTGAACCCAGTCTCCTCCCTCAGGCTCCCCTCCCCTGGCTTCCAGGACACCCCACATGGCTGTGTTTCCTCTCTCCCCACTCCTGGTTTCCTTTGCTGGTTCCACCTCCTCTT